TTTTGGGATGATTTGATTTCGGTTTGGGGAAATTTCGGGAGTTTTTGGGGTGCTTTGGGAGAATTTTGGGGCTTTTTGGGTATCTCTAACCCCCCCTGGCCGATTTTAATGGGAATTTCGGGATTTTTTGGGGTTCCCCTGAACCCCCCCAGTGAACAACGCCGGGGTGGGGCTGGTGGGACCCCCGGGGATGGATTTGGGGTCGATTTTGTGCCGATTTTATGGGATTTAATAGGATTTAATAGGATTTTGTAGGATTTTATAGGATCTGGGCATCTCTAACTCCTCCGGGCCGATTTTAATGGGAATTTCGGGATTTTTTGGGGTTCCCCTGATCCCCCCCGATCCCCCCCAGTGAACAACGCCGGGGTGGGGCTGGTGGGACCCCTGGGGCGGATTTTGTGCCGATTTTATGGGATTTAATAGGATTTAATAGGATTTTGTAGGATTTTATAGGATTTGTGTAACTCTAACCCCCCGGGCCGATTTTAATGGGAATTTCGAAATTTTTTGGGGTTCCCCTGATCCCCCCCGATCCCCCCCAGTGAACAACGCCGGGGTGGGGCTGGTGAGACCCCCGGGGATGGATTTGGGGCGGATTTTATGGGATTTTATAGGATTTTATAGGATTTGGGTATCTCCAACCCCCCCGGGCCGATTTTAATGGGAATTTCGGGATTTTTTGGGGTTCCCCTGAACCCCCCCAGTGAAAAACGCCGGGGTGGGATTGGTGGGACCCCCGGGAATGGATTTGGGGTGGATTTTAATAGGATTTGATAGGATTTGATAGGATTTTATAGGATTTGGGCATCTCTAACTCCCCCGGGCCGATTTTAATGGGGATTTCGGGATTTTTTGGGGTTCCCCTGATCCCCCCCGATCCCCCCCCAGTGAACAACGCCGGGGTGGGGCTGGTGGGACCCCTGGAAAGCGCCTCGGGGCCGCAGGTGCAGCGAGTTTTCGACACGAACGTTTTTGGGGTTCTGCGCCTGGCCCAGGCTCTGCTCCCCCAAATGAAGCAGCGCCGCAGCGGCCACATCGTGGTGGTCAGCAGCGTGATGGGGCTGCAGGGTGAGAAACCCCCCCAAAAAAACCCCAAAAAACGCCCCCAAATCCTTCCGGGTAACCCCAAAAATCCGCAGAGGGAGCCTCAAAAAAAATCACCCCAAAATCCGTCACAAAATCCTCCTGTGTACCCCAAAAATCCCACCCAAAAAACGGCCCCAAATCCTCCTCGGTAACCCCAAAAATTCACCCCAAAATCCTCCTCTGTGCCCCCCCAAAAAACCCCAAAAAACGCCCCCAAATCCCCCCTGGGTAACCCCAAAAAACCCCACAGGGACCCCAAAATCCTCCCAGACCCCAAATTTTGGGGGATTGAGACCCCAGACCCCAAATTTTGGGAATTTGGGACCGCAGAGCCCAAATTTTGGGGGGCTCGAGACCCCAAACCCCTCCCAGACCCCAAATTTTTGAGGAATTGAGACCCCAGACCCCAAATTTTGGGGGGTTTAAGACCCCAGACCCCAAATTTTGCAGGATTTGAGACCCCAGACCCCTCCCTGACCCCAAATTTTGGGGATTCGAGACCCTAGACCCCAAATTTTGTGGGATTTGAGACCCCAGACCCCAAAATTTGGAGGATTTGAGACCCCAGACCCCAAATTTTGCAGAATTTGAGACCCCAGACCCCAAATTTTGGGGGGTTTAAGACCCCAGACCCCAAATTTTGGGTGATTTGAGACCCCAGATCCCAAATTTTGCAGAATTTGAGACCCCAGACCCCAAATTTTGGGGATTCGAGACCCCAGACCCCAAATTTTGGAGGATTTGAGACCCCAAACCCCAAATTTTGGAGGATTTGAGACTCCAGACCCCAAATTTTGGGAATTTGAGACCCCAGACCCCAAATTTTGGGGGATTTGAGACCCCAGACCCCTCCCAGACCCCAAATTTTGGGGATTTGAGAC